TTGTTCCCTTCACAAGTATGTAGTGATCATCTTTGTCCCTCTTAATTACTTTTGGTTTGAAATCTACTCTGTCTGCAAATAAAATTGCTACCCCTGCTTTTTTCTGGGTTCCTGTGGAGTGGAGAACTGTTTTCCATCCTTTTACTTTCAATGTATGAATTTCTTTTTGAGTTAGGTGTGTTTCTTATATACAGCATATTTCTGGATTTTGCTTCTTAATCCATTCTGTCAGTCTATTTCTTTTGATTGGCGAATTGAGGCCATTAACATTGATAGTTATAATTGAGAGATATTGACTTATCCTTGTCATGATGTTTTACTCTTGTTGGCTCTTTTATTTCTCCCTCCTCCCTTTCCCTTTAGTTTCTTACCTTGCCTGGTGGCTTCCCTCTGTTTGGCCTTATGGAGTTGTGACCTTCATTGCCTTTTTGTAGGATATTGCTTAGGATTGTTTGGAGTGATGGTTTGATGTTCATGAAATTTCTCAGGTGTTCTTTGTCATGGAAATATCTAATTTCCCCACAGATTTTGAAAGATAATTTTGCAGGATAGAACAGTCTAGGTTGGAAATTATTTTCTTTTAGGGCTTGAAATACTTTACTCCAGGGTCTCCTTGATTTGAGGGTTTGTGTTGAGAAGTCTGCCATGATTCTGATGAGCTTTCCTTTGTAGGTGATTTGTTTCTTTTCTCTAAGTCCCTGTAGTATTTTGCTCTTCTGTTGGGTTTCTAGGATCTTGACTATTATATATCCAGGTGTAGATTTTTTTTTGATTTTGGCTAATTGGAGTTCTATATTCCTCACTTATCTGTATGTCCAATTCTCCACCTCTCTCTGGGAAGTTTCCTACTATTACTTCTGCGAACAGTTTATTTTTATGTTAATTGTACTCTCTCGTGTTTTTTCATTGACTCCTATCAGTCTTATGTTGTTCTTCTTTGCATCATCTAGCAGCTGCTGGATTGATTTCTCATGGCCCCTTACTATTTTTAAGAAATCTCTTTTTTCATGGTCCTTAACCACAATCCTGTCTTCTATATCTGATATTCTAGCTATAGATTCCCTTAATCTGCTCTACATACTTTCAGTGGAGTTTTTAATCTCCCGAATACCTGTTTGATACTGTTTCATGGATTCCATTTCTTTATGTTGTGCAATCATTGTTTCCATTTCTTTCTTATGCTGGGCATTTATGGATTCCAGCATGTTTCTGAGCTCATCTATTTTTTTTTATCTGTTTCTGTTCTAGAGCCTCTAATCATCTCCTTCACTCTGCTCACCATCTCTGTAGTTATCTGAGAAATTATTTCTGTTTTGAAATTCTTCTAGAGACTCATTCATCTGTTTTGTTACTTCCTGTGGTATCAGTTCACGGTGTCCAGGTGTTTGATTATCAGACTTTTCTACTTCCTTTCCCCCAGAATTTGCCTTTTGTGGGGTGGAAATCCGAGATTGTGCCTTACTTAAATAACTCCTCATTTTTGTCTTTGGTACTGTCCCTGATTTAATTCCTGGGTTGATACTTTGAAATTGATTATTGTAAGTATCTTTGTTGATGTATTTATAACCCTTATGGAATGATTGC